TCAATCTGTATCACAGAGTGTATTTAACTGGCATTAAATCACCTAAACTACCGTATAAACCAAGCTTGTATTTAATTTATTTTGTTTTCTGAAATTCATGTAGAGTGTATATACTGTACTATTCGAAAAGAAGCCTATGATGATATCTATGAGATTCTTTTCGAGACTAATTTTACTTCATCTCAAGATTAAGCCTATTGGGCTTCAATTACGGTACCGATGTATTCTTAAAATGCGGACTAAAACATTGCTGTGCAACTGCAATGTTTTCTGACTGCATAACGTGTCACACACATGACGTAATACTCAATAATATCCAATATCACGAGGATTATGCATCAATGTGACCGCGATAATTATTCATATTGAAAATCATATCCACTATCATAGGCACACTGTGGTACGGTGCAAAGGAGACCAGTGGAGAGGGCACGACAAGAAGATCGACATGAATAATATGTTTAATAATGATGAACGAATAAACAACAGAAAAAAGAACAATAATATCAGTAAAGTAATAATAACAATAATAGTACGTCATAATTATGACATCATTTACGACGTCCATGTATGCTTTTTATTTTTGCATTATTCCTATTAATATTATTAATAATATTAATTATTAATAATTATTATTATCATCATCATCATCATCATTATCATTATTATTATCATAGACCTAGAGGTGGGATGAAATATAATAGGTCTAGTCGCAATCACCGCCAAATAATGTAAACTATATTCCTGAAACATCCTAACTGTAATCGAATAACTAATGACAATAATTGAAAATTCATTAAATTAAATAAATTGTATTTAATTATTTAACAAAGAATACCACCGATCAGTGCCAACGAAGCGCAGCAGATAATGAAATATTTGGCTGTCAATTCAAATGAAGTACCGTAATTACAATGATACAGACCTCAATTATTGTTTTACTCCAATTTAAAAAATTTCTGTAAAACGTACGTTTGTAACGTCAGGTATTAGCTTCAAATGAATGAACATAACTGTTCTGGCTCGATTACATGGGTAGGCCTGCATTTCTCCCTTTCGGTTCCCCTTTTGGACTCTGGATCCGCCCCTGTAAAGTAGGCCTAGTGGTGAAATGGGATCTCGGGGTCTCTAGTTCAGATGGGCCCTGGGCCTTCTACAACACAGCTTTAATAATCAGAACTGTAAAAGAAAACCCAAAACTGGCAATAGCATAATGTAATTCCTGGTTTGTAACTCAGGACTTTTGAACGGTATTATTGACATGTCCTATAATATTGCAGTCTTTTCAGTCTTATTAATTCATTCATAAATATTTAAAGATACGGATGGGAATTCACTCAACTACCGTCCACTCTGCCACCTTCTTGGCACTTCTTACATGGGCCCCTACAACTTTTCGCCCGCGGCGCTGTGACTCATCGTAAAGCCGGGCACCCACTCCTGTGATCGCTAGACGACGTGACGCTGTCAGCTGATGAATGTCGGTGGCAGTCGTCATTAAAAACGATCACTAAATCGCGATGAAAACAATTTATTTCTCAAATATTCGTGTAAGTTTGTTGATTTTAATTGACTTTGCCATTCTTCAAAATTCTAGAGACAATTAGTTCGTGAGAGTGCATTCAGAATATCAAATTTTCTTTAAAAAATGTTGTATGCCCATATATAATACTGATGTGATGTCAATTACCTTGGTTTACCTTATCTTGATTTACCTTGATGCTTCGAGACTTAGAGACCTATCCTCGTTTGTCCAGGGAGGTGTACATCCGAGAATCTTCTTCAGATACATACGGGATGTACTTCAATCGGTGGCAAGACCAGTTTCCTTTTTCTAGACCCGACTTAAAGGCATTTACTGCCTTTTGCAGACACAACATAATTTGGAAGCGCATTCCAATCATTCACTACTCTAACTGAGTAAGAATTCTTTCTAACTCTAATTGGTATTTGGTCTACTTTTATAAAGCTATAATCATGACCTCTAGTTTTACTCTGAGGTGGGCATTCAAAAATGGGGACTGAACCAGGGGCCTATAGGCCAGGGGCCAGGCCTATAAGGTAGGCCTAGGTGCACAAAGAATACTAGGTTAGGTAGGCCAGGGCTTAGGAGATGTGGCGGTTGGACAATTTTAAAAGAAGGAATCGTTTCTATAGTTCTTTCTAGTTTTTTTTTTACATAAATAAGCTCTACAAATGGCGGATCTTGTTTGCTGGAGGGGAGAGGGTGGGGTGGGGTTGGGTGGGATGTTAAAGACTATGCAGCAGTCAAATAAATCAGTACCCACGAGTGTGCCATGAATCATTTAGCTAAGAGATATAAATCGGGGAACTCCTTCACGTTAGCCTGGAAACACATGCATCTGCCCCTGTTCTGTAATGGAAGGGGACGCCACTACTAGTGGCTAAATAAATGACCTTACTGGGGGTGTAGTGCCTCACAACCCTATCCATGGTTTGAGAGAGGGGTCAAGGAAGCAATCTACATCAGGGTCAACAGACGAACGTCGAATAAAGATGGTGGAAGATATAATCTTATAAACATATTGAACAACAACATAAAGGCAGGAATGGAGGAGGGGGGACCAGGACCAGGTCCACCGGCCTCACCGCTGACATCACAATCGATATGACGCAATTTCCATCGTTTGTCATTGTGAACAAGACTACAATGATAATCGAAAGCTTAAAACGTAAGTTCCTTTGTTGTCTGCTTTATTCAGAGATATAAAGTTTTAATATATATTTATAATATAATATTGTTTATTTTAATTAACCTAATAAAATCATTCTTATTTTTTAGGGAAACAATAGCAATTAATACGCAATATACCATATTTCGCCAATGAGAAGTATTTTTGTGTAAATTATATAGTTTTTTTTTTTTAACTATTCCTTGTCTTTTTATTTCGCTTGTTACTGAATAAAAATTGATTATGCACTGTATTAAATGTTCATACTGATATCGATATTATGTATTGTACATAATGTCACAGTTCATAAATAATGTATATCTATAAAATTAAAACTATTTTACCATATTCAACATCCTTATAATACACATAGGCCTATAGTGTTTATGGATTGTAAATATTTATAACTACTAAAAAATCTAGACTTACGCTTATATTTTTAAATAAATATGCATTTCCAATCAGGTCATTCAATAAAAATGAATAAATTACATATAAAAATTAAAAGATTAAAAGGCAAAATACTGAAAAACAACAATCCTG